AGGGAATATCTGTCCAGTATCACAAGTAAACCAAAATGAAATGGTCCGGAGTAAAATACAATTGTGGGAGACATTAGACCTTCTAATGATGGGCACAGTGGCTTTGTCGAAGCCAGACGTCCAAAAATGCATCCGCGCAGAGACAATAGAGAGACGGCAGACAATGAGACTGTAGACGTCTGGATGATCTCTACTTGCTGACAGTGTTTGTTTGTCAATGTTAAACACTGCCCCCCCCTTCATTTGCCCAAACAATAAGAACAAATGCAGCTTGTAGTGTCAGCGTTTGCTAAAATGGTTTTCAGTTTGTTTTTTCTTCCAGTGTGAATTACATGCTGCATGTGATAAATGGACTCGCCGTCAATAACATCACTCATGGTTTGTGAAATGCCACTTTGTAACCTCGAGTTCAGCGTTTGATTGTTTCAATATTGAATCCTTTGGAGTCAGAAGTGTCCGTATGTGGGTGGGGGGGGGGGGGGGGGAACGCGGGGGGGGGATTTAAAACCTTTTGCGGGGAAAAATAGGGGGGCTAATGTATTTTTGAAGAAGTTTCGGGATACAAAATAGGTTTTTTTCCCCCCCCCCCAGGTGTTGGAGTGCAGTATTAGTTAGTATTAAAAGTTAATGATTTTGGTGGAGGGCAGTTGAAGCCGGGGGAATTCAGGAGCCATCACAAAACTGCTGACTGTCCTGTACTCTAAATCTGCTCTGATTCTCGCCCTCCACCTCTTACATGCAGGTGAGTGAGCTATACCATTTGTAGCAGATATTATACACATCTGAAAAATCTGTTTATATGTCTTTCCGGTTGAATACTTGTGAGCAGACATGGCCCTCGGTCATCCCCATGGAGCTGCAAAAAGACTAATTCACTGTAGATTGTGTGACTTGGCTATCTTTAAGGCATTTTAAACGATGCAGATGAGCTATTGTTTGATTTCATGCTGACGGTCAGTGACAAAAGTCTGGCTAAAATGAAAAATATTTGTATGAACCTGTGTTTACAACAAAAAGATTGAGATTTAGATTTCTTGCTCTGGGAATTTGTTTTGGAAACAAATGAATGACTATCTTCCCTTTTATATAGAAGTCCCATGATAAGTTGTGGCAGCCATGTTGAATGCTTAGGGGAGAGTATCTGAATAGAACATTGATGAATGTGTATCGTATCTTTTAGCTGCCAGGTGATCGGAAAGATCTCACGCGATTGGAGTTTATTGCCAGACCCTTCAACTTTTGTTTGGAGTGTGGTTTAATTTAATTTTTTTCTTTCATCTTGGCGGGTTAAATTAGACATTTTCACGATGTGCACCCATGATAAGCCACAATAAACTAAAATCTAATACGATTAAGCACGTCGGCGCGTGGTTTAACACCATTCCGCATATGTTTCATCAACCTTTGGTCTAAGCCCTCCCGTTTATTTAAAGCTTAAAAATGCTGAAACGCCAAACGAAAAGTCACAGACTGCTCAAAAGGCAGAATGTAGTAGAAGGTATTTGTTTTAACGTTTTTTCAAAAGCATCAATTCTACATCTCCATCACACTATTGCTGATGTTCGTGCAAACGCCATGTGGCCTTGTACTATAAAGTGCAAGCGTGTATGCCTGCGATTATGCAAATGGGCGTACAGTTACATGATCGTCCTTTATGGCCATCTGTCGTTCCGCCTGCAATCGATCAAGGTCGAGTCAGCGGCGCCGGCGCCGGGATGTCAGTGTGATGAATTCATCACCGCCGCATGCGGGCGTGTTCAAAGTTTCCTTACGGGGAGCCATGACAGCGTCTCGTCATGTCCAAACTTTTGGTTTTTCTGGCCCGTTTTCACAGACGAGGTCAGGGCCGGCCGGCTCCCATTTACCTGGGAGCTGCCCAAAAACTTTGGCCAGTTTTGTTGGGACACTGATGACAAAAGGGTGATTAGGGAAAGAAAAGGGAGAGAAAGCTGGATTTACATTCCTGCTCGACCACCAGGTTTGAGGAAAAAAGGAAAAGGCTCAAAAACCTGTTACAGCAGTTCTTTCTATTCACAGTTATTATTAAAGGCTGAATAACAGTGTAATAAATGTATTACGTCATTTCTGTCAAACTGAATCCTCCATTTGTTGTAGCGATCTCTTTATTTGAAGCTATCCTTCATTTTTTTTGCTGAATATCTGTTACTTTTTCCTCCAGGTGTAGCATTTGCTGCTATATTCACCAACTTTCCTTTGAGACGCGTGAGGCCTTTATTTATGCTACACTGCTCAAAGGTGTTAATAAAAACTAAATAAATGATTCTACCTCCATAACCAATTGACTGCAGGATGATGACGTTGAAGCTATTTCCAAAAAGATAGATACTCGTTCACGATGGTGTTTTATTTTCACGAATAACTTCATCACGTTGTGGAATTTGAATGATTTTCTTTTGGATCGATTCAGACTTTGGGGAAAATAAAAATAAGGATTTTTTGTCTCCTCACATCTCCGCATCGCGATGGGCGTGTCTCCAACTGCAGGTCTCTCTTCCCCCGTGCGACTTTACGTCCACTCACTATTCGGGAGAAGGCCGGTTTTGGTTCTTTGGGGAATTAAACTGAGTGGTGGGTGACCTTCTCCGGCTGTGGGCCGGCGTCCAGCTCTCCAGCTCAGTGTGCAGGCCGACCCGGCACTGCGACAGCCTTAGCATGACTAATGAGACTGATTCAGAGGCAGATAGAGGATAGTATCTTTCTTTGTGTGTGTGTGTGTGTTGGTTTTTAGAACTCCCTTCATCTCCATTTTTTTGGTGTATCTCAACCTCTCTGTTTCTCATTGGTGTCTGTGTATGCGCACCTCTTATCCTTCCCCTGGAAAAAGCGGGACAGTAAAGCAAACAGAAGAAAATGGGATGATAATAAGAGTGCGCGAGTGTGTGTGTGTGTGTGCATTGTCTAAAATAACACAAGGTGGATGTCAGATGGGAAAATGCTCAGAGCAGGAAGGCTCTTGTATTGTTATTCCCTCCTCTGTGAGTGACTGCCTTTCTTTCTCACCCGCTCTGTCTCCACTTTTTCTGAAGAATAATAGTGTTTATTAATATTTATCGGCGCCGGACCAGGGCTGCGGTGTATTTCCGTGGTGCTTTGTATTCTGTCTTCCGGGCAACTGGTGACTGAGCGTGTGCGTTTGTAAACCCTCACTGCTGCACCCTCTATCTCCCCCTTGTATCTTTGCTCTCATTATGGGTGGGTCTCGGTGGACGGAACACCCACATTGCATCATTCGTTCAGCCTGCCGGGTTGGGAATATAAATGCTCTAATGGCGGCACTTACATCACTCACATCGCTATTATTTCTCTAATGACGTAAATAATCTGTCGATAATATGTTTAAAAAAAGAGGGTCGTTCCACACCAAATGGCCTGAGACTCGTCGTTTTTTTTTTTTTTTAAGCACTTTTAAGGACTACTTTTGAAGTTGCTTAGTCATGCCCAAAGCCTGCTAAAGATTAAATGAGGTCAGTGAACAAAAGCAGTGCAAATGTGTTATATAGAGAACAAAAACATTGGGGGTTTTGAGATGATTGTCAGGTTTTGCCTCAAGAATGAATTATTCAGCATACACACTTTGGTCACCAAGGCCATGGCTTGCCAGTGGTGCCACGTTTTTTAATTTTTTTTTTTAAACGTATGAGATTAAATTGTAAGATTCCTGCCCCAAAGCGCCACCACCGACCAATCGCGACTGATGGTCCCGTTGCAACTTACTTCCTGGTTGTCGCTGTAGGAGATCCTCATCTTTTTGCTTTGCGAGAAAGATCCTCTGAGAAAGATCCATTAATAGTGTTTATATGAACAGTTTTGAGTTTTTGTTTTTCTTATGCAGAGATTTTCTTATGCTGATTATGGACAGCTTACTTGAAAAAAGATCACTGCCACTGTCCATTAATGATGGCATTAACCATCATTAAAGGACCCAACAAAATAAAAGACTCATTTTAAATCTCAAATACATAAATAAGAATATATATGGTTTTAAACCTACAGTGAGACTCATAAGTTAATCAGAAACAATAATAGTTTATCTTTTTTTTTTTAAGTTAATTTACATATTTAAAAATCAGGCTACTATTCATCATTTTCATGATAAATGATCCATTAATAGTGTTTATACGAACAGTTTTAAGTTTTGGTTTTTCTTATGCCAAGATGTGACATGCTGATTATGGACAGCTTACTCGAAAAAAGATCAATGCCACTGTCCATTAATGATGGCATTAACCATCATTAATGGACCCAACTGCTAAAAAAAAAAGTGCTCCCTACCCTCTTTTCCTAGTTAAGCCGTTTTATTTAGTCACTGATTGGACGGGACCGTGTAGATGGCGTCATCCTATGTTAAAGATTTAATATTCCTTTTGCTCAGAAATGCTTCTGGGTTTGTTGTTTTGTTTTTTTCTAAAGGGAAAACAAAGTGACTCGTAAACATTTATTTGCAGTGCATTGATTTATAGTGCTGCGCGGAGGTGAACTGCTGTCAAACGCTGTGCAGAAAGCTGCCGCATGGGAGGGGAAGCTGTTTTTGACGAGGTGCCCTTTTCCCTCCCGCCTTTTGTGACGTCGTGATGAATGAGAAAGCCGAACGCTACACAAATTGAGGCATTTGGGTGATTTTCTATTAGCGGCAGCACGCTGCTAGCTTGTGTTTTCGTCTTGCAATCTTTTCCCCTCTGCCTCAGGCCAAGCCCATGGAGAAATCTTCCCTAATTATTAAAAAAGCTCCAAATGGGGAGTTTTTATCAACTTAAGAAGAATGAGCAGCGCCTGTGAATGGAATCTAAAGAACAGAGGTGCTCATTGTTAGCCACAACTCATGACAAAACAGATTAATGGTTCCTG